CAACATTTGCAAAATTCTATCAAAATTTTGCAGAAGATTATTCAAAAATTATTACAGTAGCACATTGACAAGGAAGTATGAGATTTTTACACAGGAAGGTTGGGGTCACAGGTAAATGTATTTGTTTGTTTCAGGCTTTCTGTGCAAGTAAGCTTTGAACACAAATAGTTTTCAGGGGTTACTATGACCCATCTCTCGTGTCAGCAGAGTCTTTTGACTATCTGTTGTTCCTCAAAAAAAAAAAAAAAAAATTAGTTTCTTCTCCTATCCCACTAGGAGGGACTTTGGGAAACTTTTTTGAAGAATATTAGGCTTTTGTCTAAAGAACAATAGATATAAGACACACTGAAACATTTCCCCAGTAGCTACTGGGGATTTTTTAGGCATTAGCCATGTCCGAAACAAATGAGACAACAGAGAAGCTGATGGATAGAAAAAGAGTATGAATGAAACACTGCTTCAAAAACTGAAACAGCACACATGTGGGAAGAATTGCTTATAGTCAATGGGCAACTGATAAGGTTTATTGTGGTGTTGCAGGTTAATGTGCTGGCTGTAAGGTAGGTTTGAACCTCAAGGTTGGAGGGTTAAGCTCACCAGCCGCTCAATGGAAACACTAAGCAGAATCATTATAGGTTGGAACCAACTCAATGGCACTTAACAACAACATGCCAGCTGCTTAGAACAGTGTCTCACGTTGTTACTTGTAGTCGAGTTGGTTCCGACCCATAGTGACCCTGTTTAAGATTTCTGAGAAACAGCTGGTGGGTTTGAACCATCGACCTTGCAGTTAAACTGGCCTTGTGGTCCAACACATGATCCTGCAGTACCACACCAGGATGCCAAGCAACTGGCATATAGTGCTTAAAAACTGTTTCACTGCTTTACATTCCAGTCAGGAGGTAATAAAGAACATATTGACCAATTTAAAAGTGTGATATTTTCACCTAAAACGGCTGTTTTCTAGCTCCTTTGAAAAAATCAAAGATCTAGCAAGGCGACATTCATATTCCTGCATGACAGTGAGTGGTGGCAACCAATGGCTATGTCCATGAGATAAACAATGTGTCCTACAGTTAGCTCCTCGCAGCCCCCTCCAATCTCTACTGTTTTAAAACTCAATGATCCCACTCCTTTACGTCTCTGCCTGGGCCATTTTGTGAGCTGTGACCCGTTCTCTGACGTCCCTGAGCTGCCTGGGATACTTGCCTCTCCTAAAACCACCAAATGCCCAAGGAATGTAAGACACTATTCTTAAATCAACATAAATCCTTCACTGCCACTTCAATGAATCTTTGGAACTGACAATACTTCGCCTTGCTGAGGTCTCAACGTCCTCAACCAATGGAAGTAATTTTATTTGTCTTAGAGGGGTTTTTTGGTGAGGATTAAGCTTTGTTTAATTTGCTCTTATTCCTCTGGACCGCATTCCTATCATTACTTCTTCAAAGAAACCTTCCCAGTTCTCCTGACTAGATCAAATGTCTCTGTCGTGGAGAGGATTATGTACCCCCAAAGTATGTCCACTTGGCTGGACAGGATTGTCAGTGGTTTAGCAATTATGTAATGATGTCATGTGATAGTTCTGTAATACCCTCCATGAGGTGACATGATGTGATAAAAGGATTAAGGGTGAGTCCCATCACAGCTCTGATTACAGAAAAAGGGTGTTTCCCCGGAGGTGGCCTGGAACAACCACCAAGAAGGACCTTCAACCACCAAGAGAGCTGGGGTTGGAGCACATCTTTTGTACCTAAGATCCCAGCACTGCAAAGCTCCTCCATCTGAGGGAAGAATAATGCCAAGACCCATGGTGATCTCCAAGGAAAGCTAGGTCTACACATGCTGAAAGTTGGTGAGGGCCTTCTTTTTCAACTGAGAGCCAACAGAGAATGCAAGCTTTCTCCTAGATTGCTTGGTCCCATGAATTTGGACCAGAATTTGGCTACAAAGTCTTCTAAACGGTAAAGGAATAAATGTGTTTGCTAAAGTCATCCACTTGTATTGTCGCAGATATTATATAATGAAAGATACCCTCTAATATGAATAGGCTGTCGATAATGTTTTCCTCTTGTTGGGTGTTGTTGCTAAGGGCCATCAAGTTGGTTCCCACCCCTAGTGACCCTGTACAGGGTTTCCAAGGAGCAGCTGGTGACCCTCAAATCAACTTAGCAGCCCAGGGTATTAACCTGCAACACAACACCAGGGCTTCCGAACAAAAAGAAGTACTCAATACATGCTTAATATTAAAAAAAAAAAAAAAAGAAAGAAAGAAAAGCTGTATAAAGACTTTGATATAACCCCTGTATACTCATACTGCCCAATAGATTTTTCTCTGATCCTCCCTTTTCTAATATTTTTTATTATATATGACGAGAGGAATTCACTAATTCCATTTAGGAAGCCTCCTCCGGTTCCTGGTAACTGCTGGGCACTACAATTTGTATGAGTTTTAGCTAAGCCCTTTCTAATAAGCACTGGACTGCTAACCAGAAGGCTCGCAATTCAAACCCATCAGTCGCTCTTTAGAAATTCTATTTAGGGACGCTAGGTCATGAAATCAAACGCATTAGGCAAATCTCCTGCAAAAGGCTTCTTTATTCAAGAGCAAAGACGTCAGTTTGAGGACTAAGGTGTGCCTGACCCAAACCATGGTTATTTTTACATGTGTAAGTTGGTGCAATTGAGTTATAGTGTTGTAGAACAATATTAAAAGTACGACGGACTGCAAGAAGTATAAACAAAATTGTGCTGGAAAACTTACAGCCAGTTGTTAAGTGCCACTGAGTTAGTTCCTACCCATAAGGGCCCTGTGTAGGGTTTCCAAGGAGCAGCTGGTGAGCCTAAACCACCGACCTTGCAGTTCAAAAGGCTTTGCAGTCTGGCACATTAACCTACAGCGCCACACCAGGACTCTGCTACTTGAAAGCTAGAATAGCGAGACCTGTCTCTCATACTTCTGGCATGTTAGTAGGAGAGACCAGTCTCAGAAGGACATCATGTTTGGTAGAGTGGCGAGTCAGCTATTAAAGAATCCCAAAGAGATGGATTGGCACAGAGGCAGCAGCAATGGGCTCAAGCTTAGCAATCGTAGGACTCGGCAATATTTCGTTCTGTTGTGTACCGTGGAAATGACTCCAAGGCACCTGGCATGAGTCAGAATCTACTCGATGGAACTTTAAATCTTCCCAGAGAAAGGGGAGACTTTCTGCTCCACTGAAAATGTACAGCCTCCCAAACGCTACGTTGTTGTTGTTGTTAAGTGCCTTCCCACAGCGACCCTGTATAGGGTTTCCAAGGAGCTGCTGGTGACCCTGCAGTTCAAGCTGACCTTGAGGCATTATCCCTCTGAGCTGCTCCTGGACGTTCATACCGGGTGGCTATGAGCCGAGACCGACTGGACTACACAGCACCACCACCACGAGTCAGAACCGGGACAACAATTTGTCCTATAGAACATATTTTTGTTTTGTTTGCTGATGTATGCCAGGCGTCTAAAACTCTTAAAAACACTGGCTGAACGAATGACTTCTATGCACAGCTCCTGGCAAGCCGGCGCCTGGTTTTTACAGCGATGAAGACACGGAGTGCACACCGGGAGGAAGAAAACAAAGATCTGCTCGGATAACCCCTTGGTACTGTACTTGGCCACATCAGCCTGCCCAACACCTGAATAAAATACGAGTATGGATTCCCAAAGGCGCGGGTCATCACGGATGCTCCATAAAGGACGAGCATCCTTTCGTCGTAAGGTTCCTTCCACCCTTAGCCAAACCAGCGGCAATCATCAAGTCCCGTCGCTAGGATCACAATTCTTACACCTTATTCCTCCGCCAACATGGAAGACCTATCCTCTCTAATAGAGCTCATCTGTCTCAGAAGTCTCCGCTTCCCAGATTCCCCAGTGGAAAAGCGACTCCCAACCTCCCCTTTCCGAATCTGTTACAACGTTTATGGTTAATTGACCATCCACCAAAAATGCACTCCAAGGTGTCCTTCCGCCTCAAGGAAGTTATTTCTGCGCCCCTCCACAAGCTACAGTTTGTCCGCGGCAAGTCAATACGTTGCGCGTTCTCGCGAGAGTCCACCGCGCAATCTCCCTACCGCCTTTGAACCCCTAGTTGGTGAGGTAAAGGCTCCATACCGGCAGTCGGATGCCGCAGACGCATGCGTACCCGCAGCTCCCGGCACCACTTTGCGGAGCGCGAGAAGCTTGCAGACGGATCTTACAAGGCCTGTCTTCTTCCTGCTTGTTCTCTGCCATCAAGGGAGCACTGCTTCCTGCCACTCTGTAACGTGCGGATACTTATTGTGGACGGGATCGGGCCGCCGTGGGATTGCACAAATCCCAGCCGGACAGCCGCATGGGCACACTCCGTGACCCGAACTCTGACCCCGCGGCCGGACTAGGAATTGAACATCCTGCCCCACCTACGGGGCTTCGCTCCCGGGAGACACACCCCTCTTCCTGCTAGGTTCTCTGCCTCTGCCGCTCTTTTCCTCAATAGCTTTGCCTTTCCGACGTTGCACCGCAGAAGGGATGCATCCTGGAAAACCACATTGCGGGGACACAGCATCTCTGGAAAAGAGGTTGGGTTTTTGGACTTTAGGGCACATAGTTCCCTTTTCAAGGGCCTTTGCTGTTGTTGGTAAGCACCGTGAAGTCGGTGCGGACTCAGAACCACACTGTATAGGATTTTTGAGGCTGTAATCTTTGTGGGAGCAGAAAACCTGATCTTTCTCCAGTGGAGCAGCTGGTTGGCTCGAACCACGGACTTCGTGGTTCACAGTCCATTGCGTATCCTATGGCTCCACCACGCTCCCCTTTCAAGGGGCCTAGAGTAGATTTAATCTGGCAGGAGGGCCAGGTTTGTGTTGACAGTGCCGTTTTTTACCACCCTACCTTCCCACACTTTCAAGAACATTAAGTAGGGAAGTGGAGGACGTGCACTTGGGTCCCGACTTTGAGCAGGACGAGACATTGAACGTTTGGTTGGAGCATGGCCACAGCGCTGGAGTCTCAGATCGATGCACCCCTGGAGATTCAGGGCTGCCTGATAATGAAGATGGAAATGGAACCCCAGTGGCCTCAGGAGTCTGTTCTGGAAGGATCGGATAGCTCTGAATCGGAGACCTTTCGCAGATCCTTCAGGCAGTTCTGTTACGAGGATGTGACCGGACCTCAAGAAGCTTTCAGTAAACTCTGGGAACTTTGTTGCCTGTGGTTGAAGCCAGAAATCCGTTCCAAGGAACAGATCCTTGAGCTGCTGGTAATTGAGCAGTTTCTCGCCATTTTACCGGAGAAGATTCAAACGTGGGCCCAGAAACAATGGCCGCAAAGTGGAGAGGAGGCAGTGGCTCTGGTAGTACATTTTGAGAAAAAGACTGGACGACTAAGACAGCAGCAGGTGAGAGAGGATTGTGATTAGAAGGAAGGGCGTGAGAAAAGCAGATGGGTAGGAAAACATTGTAGGAAGTGCTCGACCTTGAAATGAATCCACTTTGAATAGGGACCAAAACATCACATAAAAAGGGTGGGGAAGTTTTGATTGAACCATTATCTTGCAAATGAACTTAAGCAACTAGTTCTTTTAATTCTTTGATAGAATGTTTCTGACAAAATTTTATATGAGACAATATCTGTGTGATTCAAAGGACTTGACTTTTGCTTCTGGATTCTAAAGAGTGCTATTTGATGTCACTTCCCCACTCCCCCTTTTCAAAAGTAGGGCAAAGGCATTATTCCAGGACTCTTCTGGAAGCCTCTAATATCAGTGTGGGTTCTGAAGTCCTGGTTTAACTGCCAGATCATCATTTGTCACTGACTTTGCCTAGTTGTTTTTCAGCATCCCTTTCATTAACGCTTGACATCATTTGCAAGATTTGCAGTGTCACCTTGCACGGGATTTGTGTTGTATACAGATCATCAGCAGGCTGCTCTGTTGGTCAGAGATGGATACTAGATGTCTTAAGTGAGAATTAAGCTTTTAGTTCACTAGTAAATATTTCCATGTTCTGGTGATTCGCTATTAGTCGGAACCGACTCCACAACACGTTACCACCACCATGGGCCTAATAGAAATGAGGACTCAATGTCTATTATAATGTCTATTATAATACAGGGATCTTGTGCTTCACTACTGACAAATTTCCATTATGCTATATATTTCTCCTCTTCTGCCCAAACCCCTAAGCAGTGCTATTAACCCAATGCCCTCATTCTTAAATCTTCTATCCTCCTTTGATCTCTTTTTTGGGGGGAATTTGTCCCCGATTTTGATCTTTCTTTTCTCTGTTACGGTATTTGATTTTGTTTCCTAGGTCAGCAGTTCTGTGCACTCAAAGAATCAGTCCTCACTTGGAGCAGCATGGGAGGTGGCAGGCTTTCATCCAGAATTGATGGAGACCCAGCCCCAGGTGGTATCCTTGGAAGAAGTTGGAAGCATCCACTCAGGAGACCAGGAACAGCTGAACTGTAAAAGAGAGCATCGGCTATTTCCAAAGAATGGTAAGAACTCAGAGCATGCACAGTCAAAGACCATGGCAGGTTTATTTTGCATCCCTAACATTGTCGGATCCCTAATGTGGCACTGTAGGATGAACACCAGGACCACAAAAGCTGATTTGAACAGCAAGGTGGCGATACACACCCACCAGCTGCTCCTTATGCAGGGTCTCTATGAGATGGAACAACAACAACAAAAACTGTAACTTGCTCAGAGTGTTGGTCTTCCTTAGGCACTGTCCAGCTTTCACATGCATATGAGGTTATTGAAAGTATCATGACTTGGGTCAGGCGCACCTTAGTCCTCAAACTGACATATTTACTCTTGAACACTTTAAGAGGTCTTGTACAGCAGATTTGCCTAATGCGATGTGTCGTATAATTTCTTGACTGCTGCTTCCATGAGTGTTGATGGCTGATACAAGCAAAATAAAGTCTTTGACAGCAAAGGCTGTGATCTTTGATCTTCATCAGTAAGTAGTTTAAGTCCTCTTCACTTTCAGCAAGTAAGGTTGTGTCATCTCCATATTATAGGTTAACAAGTCTTCCTCCAATCTTGATACCCCAATCCAACTTCATAGATTATATGTTCAGCATACAGATTGAATAAATATGAAAAAAAGAGTACAATCTTGGCGTACAACTTTGCTAATTTTAAACCATCCAGTGTTCCCTTGTTTGCCTCCTGGTCTATGTACAGGTTTCTCATGAGCATAATCAGGTGTTCTGGAACATTCATTCTCTGTAATGTTTTCCATAGATTGTCACAATCCACACAGTTGAAAGCTTTTGCAAAGTCAGTAAAGCACAGGTAAACATGTTTCTGTTATTCTCTGCTTTCAAGCAAAATCCATGTGACATCAGCAATGATATCCCTCATTCCACATTCTCATCTGAATCCAGCTTGAGCCTCTGGCAGTTCTCTGTCACTTCACATTTGCAGCCATTTTTGGATTATCTTTAGCAAAATTTTACTTGCTTGAGATGATGATGTCCACAATCTGTTGAGTCACCTCTCTTTGGAATGGGCACAAATATGTATCTCTTGTGGTGCTGTGGGTTAATGCGCCAGACTGCAAAGCCATTTGAACTGCAAGGTCAGTGGTTCAAGCTCACTAGTCACTCCTTGGAAACCCTATGTAGGGTTGCTATGGGTCAGAACCGACTCGACGGCACTTCACAACAACAACCAGTTGGTAGGCCAGGTAGCTGCCGTACAAATTTTTCGGCATAGATGAGTGAGTTCCTCTTGCACTTCATCAGGTTGCTGAAGGATTTCAGTTTGTATTCCATCAGTTCCCAGAGCCTTGTTCTTTGCCAGTGCCTTCAGTATCATTGGCTCTTGATCATATGCTACCTCTTGAAATGGTTGAACATTAACCATTTCTTTTTGGTATGGTGACTCTTTTGATGCTTTCTGCATTATTCATTATTTTGCCCATAGGTTCCTTCAGTATTTCAAGTCGAGGCTGGAATTTTTCCTCCACTTCCCTCAGCTTGGGAAATGCTGCGCGTGTTTGTTTTAGTTTTCTAATTTCATTTTGTTATAATGTTTGACTTTGCCTTCTCAAGCTGCCATTTAAAAGTTTCTAATTCACTCTTTTACCTCCTCATTTCTTCCATTTGCTTTAGCATCTGTACACTGGAGAGCAAGTTTCAGAGTCTCTTCTGACATCCATTTTGGTCTTTTCTTTCATTCATGTCTTCTTAATGACCTCTGGTTTTCTTCCTGTATGATATTCTTGATGTCATCCCAGAACTCTTCTGGTCTTCAGTCTTTAGTGTCTAATGCCCCAAATCTGTTCTCCAGATATCTCTAAATTCAGGTGGATTGATATGTTCAAGGTCATATTTTGGCTCTCATGGACTTGTAATTTTCTTCAGCCTCAGTCTGAACTTGCATATGAGTGAATGATATTCTGTTCCACAGTCGGCCCCTGGCTTTGTTTTGGCTGATGCTGTGGAGCTTTTCCACAGATACAGTCAGTTTCATTTCTGTGTATTCCATCTGGTGAGGTCCATGTGTATATTGTCTCTTAATGTTGTTTAAAGAAGGTATTTGAAATGAACAAATCATTGGTTTTGCAGAATTCTATCATGCGATCTCCAGAATCATTTCTGTCACCAAAACCATATTTTCCAACTACTGATCCCTCTTCTTTGTTGTCAACTGGTGCATTCCAATCACCAGTCATTATCAAAATACCTTTTGATTGCATGTTTGATCAATTTCAGACTTAAGTTAATAGAATTCTTCAATTTCATCATCACTGGCTTTAGTGGTTTGTACATAAATTTGAATAACAGTGATAAAACTGGTCTTCCTTGTAGGCATATAGATATTATCCTATCACAGACAGCGTTGGAGTTCAAGACAGATCTTGATATGTTCTTTTTAATGATCAGTGGCACGCCATTCCTCTTCAATGTGTCATTACTGGCAATAGTAAGCCATGTGATTGTCAGATTTAAAATGGCCAATACCAGTCCATTTCAGTTCACTAATGCCTAGAATATCGATGTTTATGTGTTCCATTTCATTTTTGACAATTTCCAATTTTCCTAGATTCATACATTCCATGTTCTTATTATTAATGGGTGTTTATAGCTGCTTCTCCTCATTTTGAGTTGGACCCCATCAGCAAGTGAAGGTCCCAAAGGCTTTATTCCATTCGTATCATCACAGTCAACTCTACTTTGAGGAGGCAGCTCTTCCCTAGTTGTATTTTATATGCCTTCCGACCTGAAGGGCTCATCTTCTGGCACTATATCTGATAGTATTCCGGTGTTCTTCATCCTGCCTCAATAGTCAATATTCTGGTGCTGTCTGACAGTGTTCTGCTGCTATTCATAAGGTTTCCAGTTCCATCTCTCCTTCTTCCTAGTATGACTTTGTCTGGAAGTTCATCTGAAACCTGTCCACCATGATTGACCCTGCTTATATTTAAAATATTGGTGGAATAGCTTCTTGAATCACAGCAACACACAAGCCACCACAGCCCAACAAACTAACAGACATGTGATGGTTAATAGTGCTCAATAAACATTCATTTCTTCTGTGATAGCACAGTTATTGTTTTAGCTTCAAATTTATACAGCCCCATCATTGAAGAGAAAAATCCACTACTACTATACCCTACTTTTTTACTTCTTCAAATCATATTATGATAGAATGCATTATAAATATTAACAGTTTCTGGTTCTTTAATGTCCAGGTGTGGGCCTGTAAGATAAAGTATTGGATTGTTAATCACAAGGTTGGTAGTTGAAACCCACTAGCCATGCCTCAGAAACCCTTATGTTGTTGTTGTTTCAATGGAATATGCAAGGTGGGGATAAGGGGATATGTGGGTTCCGCTTAACCCTTACCAGGCCCCCTTTAGTATGTACTTTGTTTACTCCTAAAATCATTTGAGCCCTGGTTTAGGGTACCATGGTTTGGGACATTGTTCCAAAAACTGAGAAAATGATCAATTTTTATTAGTTGGTTGTTTCCATAGGCTCATTTGTAAAAAGGAAACGCATAATTGAAAAGACCAGAGCACAGAACAGTGATTGTTTCTCTTCTTACAGCTCATCCTTTTCCCTTGGGTCCTGTCACTGCTGATGAATGGAGCACCAGAGAACAAGACGTGACAACCACACGTCTTCCTGCTGGATCCCAGGTAAATTGTAGCTGTTCTCTCTGGCCTTCCTTCTGAAGTATTCAGTGGAATGGTGTCCTATGCCTTCACTATCCTCAAACATCGGGCTTCCTCCAGAAGACTTCCACCCTCACCCCTTTATTTTTTTCCAGAAACGATTGGACCCAGTCTCAGTCTAATGAGTTCCTTTCTGGGTCCTGTGTCTTATGATTCATTCCCGTGTCCTCTCTTTCGTTTGGTATAGCATACATACTTGGTTTCTTGATTATCAGCTCTTCCTTAGGGCCCTTCTGTGCTTCCGCCCGGAGTAGTCATCCTTAAAAGACCCATGCAGCTCTCTTGATAGTCACTGGCATTAGTGTTGTTACAGGGACCTGTGAAAGAGACCCGCATGACAAGGGGTTTCACCTACAAAAAGAGTGTGCATCATATTCCTGCTAACAGAGACCTCGACCAAGAGATCCAGAGTGTTGGGAATGTGCTTTCATTGGGTAAGGACTTTTTTCTCTTTTCAGATCAGAACTTAGAGGACCTTTCATATGTTTTATCTCTGCTGATGATAAAATAGTCTGTTGCAAATGTTAGCATTGAAAGCACCTTTATTGGTTATGTAGGGTAATGGCTCATCCATCTCTCTTACTTTATCCACCCCTCTTTTCAGTAAAAAGAAATATATATTTTTTTTTATGGTGGTGGTGGTGGCGTGAGTGGAGTACGTTCCAACTCACGGTGACCCTGGTGAGGGTTTCTGAGGCTGTAATTGTTTACGGAAGCAGAAAATCTCATCTTTCTCCCGTGGAACAGCTGGTAGTTTCAAACTGCTGACCTTGAGGTTAGCAGCCCGACTTGTAACCACTATGCTACCAGAGCTCCATGTATGTGTGTGTGTGTATGCATACCTATTTGACTGCACTTAACAACAACATATACACGTATATATACAGAGAGAGTGTGTGTGAGAGAGGGAGTGTGTGAGTTAGGCATTGGGCTGCCAACCACAAGATCGGCAGTTTAAGCTCACCAGCTTCTGCTCCATGGGAAAAAGATGAGACTTTCTGCTCCCATAAGAATTTACAGTCTCAGAAAAGCTTTACAGGGTTGCTGTGAGTCAGAAGTTGCTCAGTGACCGTGGGTTTTTGGTTCTACATATATATGTACATATGTGTTGCCATTCTGTGTGTATATCTGAGTCACTTCCACTCATAGCAACACTGTATAACAGAAGGAAACACTGTCTGGTCCTGTGCCATTCGACAGTTGCTGTTATGTTTGAGACCACTGTTGTCAGTCCTGCTCATTGAGGGTCTTCCTCTTTTTCGTTGACCTTCCACTTTTCCAAGCAGATTTCCTTCTCCAGAAATTGGTCCATTTTGAAAACTTGTCCAAAGTTGGAGAGACGAAGTCTCACTATGCTCGCTTGTATGAAGCATTCTGACTATACTTATTCCCAGACCGATTTGTTCATTCTTCTGGCGTTCTGTCGTACTTTCAATGTACTTTGCCAACACCATAATTCAAATTGTTGTTGTTGTTATGTGCCGTGGAGACGGTTCCGACTCATAGCGACCCTGCACAGGGTTTCTGAGGCTGTAAATCTTTACAGGAGCAGAAAGCCTCATCTTTCTCCCGCGGAACAGCTGGTAGTTTTGAACTGCTGACCCTGAGGTTCACAGCCCAATTCGTAACCACTATGCTACCAGAGCGCAGCTGGTTGTTTTGAAGTGCCAACCTTGTGGTGAGCAATCCAGTGCTTATCATATATATAATAATTACCAAGTCCTGGTATAGAGATATGGGATATATCACTGGACAGCAAGGTCAGTGTGAACTATAAGGTTGGTGGTTCAAACTCAACAGCCCCTCCTTGGAAACTCTCTACAGGGTTGCTATGAGTAGGAACTGACTTGATAGCACTTAATAGCAACAACATATGTATGTATTGGAGTTCTGATGTAGCTCTGTAGGGTAAGCTCTGGACTGCTAACCACAAGGTCAACAGTTCAAACCCACCAGCCAGTCCTCGGAAACCATATAAAGGGTCACTGTGAGCTGGAACCAACTGGATGGCACTGAACAATAGTGTGTGTAAATGATTGAAAACATTAGAGAAGATATATATATAATACAGACTAGAGGAAGCTCCAGTAAGCACCGTGTCTTTCTTTTCAGGGTTGGTTTAGGTTAAATCATAGGAACCCAAACACCTACTGTGGTGCCTGACACATAGTGGGTGCCTGGTAACTATTTGTTGGATGGATGAAAATGTTACAATCAGAAGAAGAAAAGTAATTTAAATACAGTAACCTGAGTAGCAAAGAACTGGTTAGCATAGTGATTGCGAGTCGGGCTGCTGACCTCATTCATAGTCAGCAGTTCGAAACTACCAATTGTTTGGCTGGAGAAAGATGAGGCTTTGTGCTGCCATAAAGATTTACAGCCTTGGAAACCCTAAACAGGATTGCTATGAGTCAGAATCAACTCCACAACACATAACCACCAAACCAACATGGGTAGCATGTTAGAAATTCTTCATACCGTGAATTTATAGTAACACAAAGCACTTAAGTGTCAGTCTCCACAAGTACATTTTTGGAGGATTTATGTTGACATCTGTTTTAGTAGGATTCACATGTGAGCTAGGAATCAAGTCTATTTATAAATAAAATTATAGGCCAGAAATGGCCAATGCAGCCTGTGGATACACACAGAGAGAGTATACAGGAAAAAATCCCAAACAGATGTCTAGTTGATTTCAACTCATAGCAAGCCTAATTGCAGAGTACAACTGCCCTAGAGGGTTTTTAAGGCTGTATGTTTTTACAGAAGCAGACTGCCACATCTTTGTCCTGTGGAGTGGCTATACAATTTGATTACATACCTATTGGCCATTGTACATTTTACTGATGATCATTTATTTAATCTTCCCAGCACCTCTTTTGGTAGAGGGGAGTATTGCCCAGAAAACTGAGGCTCAGACAAGTTAAGAAACTTCCCTTGGTCAAAAAATTAAGTAGTGAAGATGGGATTTGAATTTGAGAAATGTTGATCACTACCATATGATATTTGCTTCTCTATTTATATAGCTCTTCTATTAAGCCTGCCAGACAGTCGCCAAGAATTCTTGATTTCTCAGCTCTGATATCCCTAGTATGTGTGTATGTGTATTTGTGGGTAGGAGATGGGGAAGTATGGGGAACAGATAATAAATGTACTTTATAAATAACAAATATTGATTAGACGCCTACTCTCAACTTAGTACTGTGTTAGGTCCAAAGAGAAAAATCAAAGGTAACATGTATCATTCTTAGCCTCAAACACCCTCTGCCATTGAGTCAGTTCCAACTCATAGCAACCCGGTACAGGGTTTCTGAGGATGTAAATCTTTACCAGAGCCGAAAGCCTTGGTGGTGCTATAGGATGATTACTAGATGTTAACCTGCGAGGTTGGCAGTTCAAACCCACCAGCTGTTCCACACAAGATAGATGAGGCTTTCTGCTCCTATATAGATTTACAGCCTCAGAAACTCTATATGCGGTCTCTATGAGTCAGAATCGACTCAGTAGCAGTGGTTTTGATTTACTCTCAAAAGTTTTCTAGATAAGCTGGGGAAGTCAGCAGTAGATACATTTGAAAAGTCAAATGATAGACTACTAGTCTTTGAGCCACAAAAGTCCTATAAGAGAGACACTACAGTGTAGACTATCATAGAAGATAAGTGCATTGGACAAGATCTTAAAGGGAGAGGTGTGAACAGTAATCTCGGAGGGCAGGCTCAGTGTAAGATTGTGGCATGCAGTAATGCCCCCTGTGCCTAGCATGAAGTATATTTCTTTTACTGTAGGAAGTAGCAAGATAACCCGGTTGGAGCAGAGGAAGGACCCTAATAATAAGAAGAATATTCTACAAAGCAACCACATCAAGGAAAAGTCAGTTCGTACTGTCCAGATTCCTACAAGAAATGCAAGAAAAACGTGGCGAGAGCAGCACCAGTGGGGTTTAGAAGATGAAAAAATAGCAGGTGTACATTGGAGCTATGAAGAAACGAAGACTTTTCTTGCAATTCTCAGAGAGTCCCACTTTTATGAAACACTCCAGGCTTGTCCCCGAAACAGCCAGGTATATGGTGCTGTGGCTGAATGGTTGCGGGAATGTGGCTTCCTCCGTACACCAGAACAGTGTCGGACCAAGTTCAAAAGTCTCCAAAAGAGCTATCGGAAAGTGAGAAATGGCCACGTGCTTGAACCCTGCGCCTTCTTTGAGGACATGGATGCTTTGTTGAATCCCACAGCCTGTGCTTCATCCACTGATAAAGCACAGGCAACAATACCTGCCCCCAGACTAAAGAGAATTGTTAGTAATACAGAACAGATCCGTTTGGTAGAGGAGGAAGCCACCGAAGAATCTGATGGTGATGAAATGGACATTGAATTAATCCAGAAATCTGAGAGTCGTGGTGCTCCTGTTTTGTTTCAAAAGCTAAGTGGTAAGATTTGTGGGGTTTGGGCTGGTTTGGTTTTGTTTTCCCATAATGACGTTCCACTCCTTTTGGGAAAAAAGAGAAAAAGTGACCAAACCTGCGGCGTGCCATCGTGGCATCTCTGTCAGTTGTCACTGTGATGCAGCCACAGCGGAAATGAAACTGCTCCAGTCTATATGTTGTTGCCTGTGCTGTGCTATGAATACGGACTGAGGAGCTGTTGTACTTCGTTAGGTTTTTTTTCAATTCAGAGGTCTGCGTGGGTTTTGAGTACTTGGAGCCTTACGGAAGGAAGAGTTAAAGAGGTTTAAGGGGCTCCAGTATCTGGGATTGGTAGAAAGCAGTCAGGTGGTATATAGCAATTAGTTGTATTGATTGTAAGAAATCAAGGATGCATTGTTAAATTCTGTAGGCTCCTCAGTAAAAGACCTCTGGTAGCATATTGGTTAAGCACTTGGCTGCCAATCAGAAGATCAGAGGTTCGACTCAGCAGCCACTCCATGGGAGAACGATGTAACCAGCGGTTTCTGTAAATATGACAGCCCCCCCCCGCAGCAGCATGGAGCACTTCTCTGTCCTGGGCGGTCAGTATGCCTTGGAAGTGATTTGATGGGAAAGGGTTTAAGCTTGCTGTGGTGCTGCTTTGTAATCCATAAAATAATGTGTACCTTACAAGTTAAAAAAGTAAGAAATAATGAAAGTTTTTGATGAAAAAAAGACCAGAAAGGAGAAAAAAGCATAAAATAATTGGGTCAACTGGAAAGCAAATAGCAAGATGTAGACATAAATCTAAATATATCATTAATTAGAAATTTAACGACAGGATTATCACATTTTTTTTTAAAGAGTAAATTTTGCAAAAGCTGCGTCTTAAGCTACTACTTCATACTGTGTGACAATACACACATAATGTAACCACTTTAAGCCTCATTCTTCTCAGTCAAATGGACTGCAGATTGCCCACAGGGTTGTTCGTCAGTGTTAGTGTTAGTGAAGTAACACAGATGAAGGCACTTTTTACGTGCTGTAAACATTGTCTGGTATCACTTTTATTAGTATTGTTTTTGTACTTTAGGGTATGAAAAGATGATGGGTTCTTAGAATGGAAAAAAATACATCTGAGTAGGAACGTACTCAGGACTATGATCTATTCAAAAGAAGAATATTCAATCTGGAAGTCCGTAGACGTGAAGGTGGGACTCTTGGAATGACCTCAAGGCGTGGTAATCCAGTGAGAGGACTGGGAAAAGATCACCAATGAGGATAGGAATTATCCTTTCTGTGGCAGATTACAAAATGCACAAAAACCATACTTAATCAATTGTATGTGTCCTGAAGTTTAATTGTGCTATAAATGCAGAACATTTGCTTCTCTTGCAAATCATTTCATTTCTCACAGAAGAGTAATCAATGGCAAAAACTGCTTTGGACATATTTCTCCTCTTTAAAGAATATTGATTTTAAAAAAATGATAGCTTTAGGAGAAAAAAAAATTCTTACTGGGTACCTGAGTCCAGTATTTTTATCCATTTTTATAAAAGGATATTTCTGGACTGCTAAGTCATATAGTTAATCATCATAAAAATATTATATTTGGCAACTATTATTGCATTTTTGGAGTCCTGGTGTGGTGCTGTGCGCTAATGTGTCAGACTGCAAACTCGTTTGAACTGTAAGAACAGTGGTTCAAGCTCACCAGCTGCTCCTTGGAAACCGTCTACAGGGTCGCTATGGGTCGGAATCGACTCGATGGCACTTAACAACAAGAACAACAACTGCATTTTTACTCTTTCTGGTAAAATTTAAATTTTAAAATCTTACTGAGATTTTTGGAGTCCTGGTGTGATGCTGTGGGATAATTCGCTGGACTGCAAGGTCGGTTTGAACTACAAGGTTCAAATTCACCAGCTGCTCCTTGGAATCCCTGTCTATACAGGGTCGCTATGAGTTGGAACTGACTCAGTGGCACTTACAATAACAACAACATTGAGATTTTTTAATTTTATTCTTTAGAAAATTGATACTATATAATTGGAATTTTCCATAAACATGGCACCTCTTTCTTTCTCTTTATTAAAATTCTTTTATGTCTTTCAGTTAAGTATAGATATTTTTATGTAGATCGTCTCATTTGTCACTAGGCTTATTCCTAGGCTAAACTTATTCCATTGCTACGATGAATTAACACAATTTTTTTCTTACGCCTTACATTTTGTAATGTATATATAGCATAGCAGCTACAGACTCCTTTTATTATATCTTTGAACTTTATCCTTCAATGGTAGGTGTACACTGGGGCTACGAGGAAACCAAGACTTTTCTTGATATCCTCCGTGAGACTCGATTTTATGAAGCACTTCAAGCCTGTCATCGGAAAAGCAAGTTATACGGGGCTGTGGCTGAACAACTGCGGGAGTGTGGCTTCCTCCGCACACCAGAACAATGCCGGACCAAATTCAAAAGTCTGCAGAAGAGCTACCGCAAAGTGAAAACTGGCCACGTGCTAGAATCCTGTGCATTCTACAAGGAGATGGATGCCCTGATGAACTCACAGGCATCTGCCCCTTCCATCAGTAGCCCAGAAGAAATCCCATCACCTTCGAGGGAAGAAACAGGTGGTATTATTAAGATTGAACTCCAGAAAACTACAGGTTGGAAAGCTGAGGAAACCTCACAGGAGGCAATAGGAGAAGATTCTGGCAGTGAGACACTGAGTGAGGAGGAAATTGTACAGGTCCAAGAATTCCAAGGATCTGAAAGTCTACTACAGAGCCCAAGTGGTAAGGATCATCAAGGAGTTTTACTCTCAAGACAGAAGCGAGTGTGATTTACTAAAACATTCGATCTAGCCCATTGCTCATGACTAGTCTTTCAGCAGATTTTTGAGTGTCAGGTACTAGTTAAGGGTCAGGGGTTCAGCAGTGAATGAAGCAAACTCCTTGTTGCCATAGTGCTTCCATTTCTGTAAGGAACTTACATTCTGGTGGCATGCTCGTTGCGGTCTCAATGTCAGATTTTATCTGCATAGGGCAGACAGTTGTATCTTAGGGGAGTACAGGGTGGGACAGGCAGATGGTGGTTGGTGATGGGGATACATGAGGGGGAAAGTCAGATCGAGATGGGTCCATAAACTCAGAACTATCTCATGATACACATTGAAAAAAAGGAGAGAGAAAAACAAAGAGATTTTATTCTGGTCCTGAGATTCACTTCCTCTTTTCCCATCAAATCAATTCTAAGGCATACTGACCGCCCAGGACAGAGAAGTGCTCCATGGTGTTGCCGGGGCTGTAATATTTACAGAAACCGCTGGTTACATCACCTGCCCATCTTACCAGCAGCTCAGACTTAAAAGTTTTCAAAACAAAAATCACCATCTTTCTTTCCACATTGTGGCTCTAAGTTTTGTTACCTCTCTCAGCATTTACATCCTGGCATTTGGTATCTTTTTTTTGTCAACTATTGTAGACTGTCATTTCTGTGTCCCCTTTTGAGTTACTTAGCCAGTATTCTATCTAGACCTTTTGTCTAGACTATTGTAAATGTCCAAACCAAGTTTTCCCCATCCAAATTTGTAGTAAAGTTCCACAGCCAGCTTTAATTTGGTGTCATCTTACCCTTCTAACCTTACCTGTTATTTTTTACCCCACATTCTGTGCTTATTCATACCAAGGGTACTTGGTATTTCCTTTTCATACATTAAGCTTTCTTACATTTAAACCTTAATTTATGTTATTCCCTCCACCTTAAATGTCTTGCATATCCACATGTCAAAATTCTCTTTCAACTCAAATGATACTTTGTCTGTCTGTACCTTGTTGCATTGAGCATTTTGTATGTCCTAAAGTCTCTCAGTAGATGGTGAATTCCTGGAGGACTGGAATCTTTCTATAGCACCATATTCAGCCTTTCTGATGTGGTGCTGTAAGATAAGCACTAGACTGCTATCAGTAAGGCTAGAAGTTCAGACCCCAGCCACTCCTTGGAAACCCTGTACAGGGTAGCTGTGAGTCAGAACTGACTTGAATCGTACTTAACAATAATAACATTAAGCTCTCAGTATACATTTGAATTTATGAGTTAGTTCAGGACTTACCTCTTGGGGCAAATGAGTGTAGTTTAACTGGATTGACTGTGGACTGAAACCTAGTAAGATAAAGTTAGGTCCAGTCACATTAGAAAGGGAAGTCCATACATAGGCTCTTTGGTAGTGGATGATTGAAGTATGAAAGCAAAAACAATTAAGGCTTACTTGGTGTAGCAGTGTAGGATAAGCACTGGACTGCTGCTAACTGCAAGGTCAGTGGTTCACACCCACCATCTGCTACTCGGAAACCCTATACATGGTCGCTCTGAGTTGGAACCAACTCAGTGGCACTTAACAACAATAGTAACAACCCTGAATAGACTCTGAATATTCTTTAATACTTGACTTATATCCATATGTCTACCAAAAGACATACACTGGGCCCTAAGGAAACAAAGTTCTTTGGTACTATCTTTGGTACTCTTGTGAATCTTGGTTTTAAGCCCAGACCTATCATCAAATTAGCCAACTCACCACGCTTAAGCAGAGCTGGTTTGTAGACATTTCCTCCAAATCCTGTAATAATGTTGACTAATCCGAATGATTCAGCACTGCTAAATGAAAAGACATCCTAGTTAGAGCTGTTGACTTTATAGATTATTTGATAGCGGCGCCCCCTCCTCCCAATTTATGCTTCAGTTGCTACCTGTGGGATTGAGGATGTCAGCAGTTTAAACTGGATATACTGAAAGAGAGTGACGCTGAAACCGGAAGTATATAGGAAAGTGCCTCACAGCACAGGTTTGGAAATCAGACAAACCTGGATTGGACCAAAGCCACACTGCTTGTATAATATTTATGGATGAAATAATACAGTGTCTAGAATTTGCTGCAGAATAACCTAAGTAGAGCAGAAAGTGTAGGAATAAAGAAAAACTAGTTTGGCATGAGTAAATCATTGTTAAAGCTGACTCATGGAAGTTCATTCTACATACTAGTCTCTCTGCTTTTCTATATGTTTGATTTTTCCATCATAAAAATTGAATGCAAAAATTACACACTTAATAAGTGACCTAGATGGGATCAGAATCAGAGTTTTCTGGTTCCAAAGCCTATGTCTCTTCACTATTTAGTGTGTGTCGTCCTTAATGGAAAAGAATAGGAACAAAGATGTACCATATAATGTGTATGGTATTTAGATGACACTGAGGAAAAATTGCAGTGAAAATTAGTTTGAATGAGTGTGGTCTTATATGTGTGGCACAGCCAGAAAAACCGTGACAGGAACATTTAACGTTTTTTGATGATGGTCTCTTCATAAATGTCCCTTTAGCTATTTTACTGTAATCTCGCTATTGGAAGCACTCTTTTATTAGCTCTAAGATTTAATTCCCAAAATAAGCTTCAGAATGTAAATAAGTTAGAGACTTGGATCCTGTTCTCACCTCTGCCTCTAACTTCATCAGGCTGATCCTGATCCTCTCCCATATGTCTATTTCGTTAATAAAGTAAAGAAGACATATATGGTCTGAGTGCAGAATGAAATTCTCAATATATTAAGGCCATTGTTATTGGATTCCCAATTCTAGAAACATACAGAATTCTTCACTGTAAAAGTTATTTCCAAGGAGACAAAAAATGCTGGAAGTATTTTTTTATACTTGATATCCTGGATAGACTGTGATAGATGTTGATGGATATAGAAGTCAATTGAAGAGTTCGGACTTTGGTCATTAAAATCTACTCTAAATACTTTTGTAGTTCAATTTAGTGTGGCTGCGAAATGAAGAAACAAGATAAATTAGTGTAACTTCTGGGAGATAAACTTAGTTATTTCCATGTAATCAAGATGTGGATGAGGAATAATGACTTAGATTATAATTTAATTCAGAAAACATTTCTGAAAGCCTGCTCTGTATTGACATTATTGAAAAGAGGTTGACCTGTTCATAAAACAAAGACAATAGAGTATAATGAATTAAGGGAAGAGTCATAGTACCTGAGACCAGTGAAGTAGATAGGGGCCAAATACATGGGACCTTAAACCTCAAAAAGCCAAATCATTAAGTCACTTTTGATTCATGACAGCCCATGTGTTACCAAATCCAGCTGCTCCACGGGGTTTCCTTGCCTGTCATCTTCATGGGAGCAGATTGGTAGGCCTTCTTGCAATTTGTCACTGGGTTGTTTCAAGCTGCCAACCTTTATGTTAGTTGTTAAGTGCCATCAAGTTAGTTCTGGCTCATAGCAACGCTACTTCCAAGGAACACCTGGTGAGCTTCAACCACTGGCCTTAAGGTTCAAACCAACATTGCAGTCCAGTGTATTAACCCACAGCACCACACTGTACAAACCAGTGGTACCACCCAGGGACCCATGGAGCCTTGTAGACCATTTTAATTGCTTTATGTTTATACAGAGATTGTCTAAATTTTTTTTTTTTTTTTTCAGATTTTGAAATTGGAAATAGCTTCAAGGAGAATGCAACAAAGGTAATATATAAAGACATGGAACAGCACAGGATACTGACAGAAAAATCTAAAAGGGTTGTTTACCAGAATACTGATCCACATAAATACCACAAAAGGGATTACATCTCAGGAAGACACTGGGAAAACTTTCAAGGAATTAAGCAGGGAAAACTGAAGTCTCAGCCTAGAGATTTAGGGAAAGCTGTACTACATCAAAGACCTTTTATGGGTAAGAGACCCTACAGACTTCTCAAATACGGAGAAAGCTTTGGAAGAAGTGCTCGATTTACGTGCCGAATGACCCACTATAAGGAAAATCCTTTTAAGTGTAGCGTCTGTGGGAAGTGCTTTGGTAGAAGCAGAAGCCTAATTAGACACCAAAAAATGCACACAGGAGAAAAACCTTTTAAATGTCTCAACTGTGGGAAAAGCTTCAATGACTCCTCAAACTTTCGTGCCCACCAGAGAATTCACACAGGAGAGAAACCTTACAGATGTGGAGAGAGTGGGAAATGCTTTAATCAAAGTTCAAGTCTCATTATACATCAGAATACCCACACAGATGAGAAACCTTACCAGTGTGAAGAGTGTGGGAAATGTTTTACCAACAGTTCTCATTTCACCACCCACCAGAGAGTCCACACTGGTGAGAATGTTTACAGATGTGTGGATTGTAAGAAAAGCTTTAGTAACAGTACAAGATTTCGAGAACATCAGCAAACACATAGTGGAGAGAAGCCCTATGGAAGTGTCCAGTGTGGTAAAAGCTTCAGTAAGAGTGTTCTTACAAAACACCGGGGAGTTCATATGTGTGAAAAGCTTCCCTACCCTTCATCTGTATATTTCCAAGAGAACCCACCGAAGGAAAAGCTAAATGAGTTCAGGAACAGGTTTTGATGATGGTCTCTTCGTAAATGTCCCTTTAGCTATTGTACTATAATCTCATTATTGGAAGCAATCTTTTATTAGCTCTAAGATTTAATTCTCAAAATAAGCTTAAGAATGTAAATAAGTCAGAGACTTGGATCCTGTTCTCACCTCTGCCTCTGACTTCATCAGTCTGATCCGTTAATAAAGTAAAGAAGACATGGTCTGAGTGCAGAATGAGATTCTCTTCAATATATTGAGGCCATCGTTATTGGAGTGCCAAGTCTAGAAACATACAGAATTCTTCATTGTAAAAGTTATTTCCAAGGAGACAAAAAATACTGGAAGTATATTTTTATACTTGATTTACTCCATGAGTTCCTGGGTGCAACTTGATCACAGAGTTTCATGTTTGTGTAGAACTTTCGTGAGTGAACAGAACTATACCAAATTAATCTTGGACTTAAAGATACTCATAAAAGGCGAATGATGATGTTATAGTTGTCGTCAGAAGTCTGCATCAGTGTACCTTTTCTGGTCAAGAAGTTGATCCTGATAACTAGGGTAGAATCCATGTATTATTATTGAATTTCCATAGAGATGAGAAGCAACTGATCACTCTGTCTTTTATATATTAACCTTTACAGTCCCTGAAGACTCTCCATCCTATACATAATCCCACTTACTTTTTACCTTTCTCATAAGTCCTGCACTTACCTCTTAATTGTTTTGGGGTGCTATTATCTGACTTTTGAATTACCATGACCATTTCTAATTTAATAAGATGCATGCTCATGGTGTATCTCATCAAGATTAGTAGAACTGTGTACATTTTCTAATTCTACCCTAGCTCTTCTCTAGTAAATTACTGTATGCTTCCCACCTCATACCTCAGTGTAATATAGTAGTATTTCTAAGACTAGGGAAGAGAGGAAGAAGTGAGACCTGACACATCGAATTTTTTCTAGGAGCAATTGAACTCCTTAGGCTTTACTTTAGGCCAAATAGGCACCTCAGTCCAGACCCACATCTCCAGACTTGTTAAGCTCACCAGCTACTCCTCGGAAACCCTATACAAGGACGCTATGGGTTGGAGCCAACTCGACGGCACTTCACAACAACAACAACAAGTTCCTGTTCATTGATAGAGAAAGATGAGGCTGTCTGCTCCTGCAAAAACTTTAAAGCGTAGGAAAGCCTACAGTGTCACAATGAATTGGAACCATGGCACTTAACAAGTTCCCATTCCTAGGGCCATAAACCTAACTGTAAAGCACTGAGTAATTTATATAACTCTAGTTCCTGGTAAGGAGCTCTGGTAGCGTAGTGATTATGAATCGGGCTGCGAGTCGCAAGGTCAGCAGTTCGAAACTACCAGCTGTTCTGCGGGAGAAAGATGAGGCTTTCTGCTCCTGTAAAGATTTCCAGCCTCAGAAACCCTGTACAGGGTTGCTATGAGTCGGAACCGACTCCACGGCACATAACAACAACAACAACATAGTTCCTGGTATGGCGATGTAGGATAAGCACTGGACTTCTAGCCACAAGGTTGGCAGTTCAAACCCACTAGTTGCTCCTTGGAAACCCTATCCAGAGTCACTATGAGTCGGAACCGACTCCATGACACTTAACAACAATAACTTATTGGACTCCTGGAGTGGTCCTGTAGGATAAGCACCGGACTGTTAACCTTTAGGTCAGCAGTTCAAATCCACAAGCTGCTTTCAGAAACCCCGTAAAGGGGCCTTGTTAATCAACCAACTTGATGTCATAAAACAACATAGCTTATTGAAAGTGGGAATGTGCCAGAAACTTCTAGTTCACAAAACTTTTCCTCATTTACCTATTTGAAAATCTCTGATAGGCCCGTGGTACTAAATCCAGTAATATTGAAGGAAGGATTTAGATGGTCAGATAGTTAATTCATTTATGTAAGTTACAGATGAAACCCCGGGATTTGGTCATCCAACTCTGGTTGCTTCAAGATGAGGCCAGTGATAGTTACACCTTGAATAATTAGCTAACCTTGAGTGGCTTTACTGTGGAGAGAGAAAAATCATTAGTAGAAAGTTAGCTACATTCAGGGCTGTGTATAGATTGTTTTCTTCTTTTGTCAGATGCTCTTTTTTGAAGACATCTGGAGATAATTCTGAGTATGTTTGGATCTTTTAAAATTCATTCAACATGATAGCAAGGAGGCTGGGCACTGAGGGAAGCGATCAAATTTATAGTGCCAGAATAGGGTGTGCATTTCAACACGTGACTCAGGTAAATACTAATAACTTCCTGATTTTGATTTGTTGAAACTGTTATGATCGTTTATGTCTGAATAGGTTGATTTCCTGTGTATAATTACAGATTTATAATAATAAGTACAGTTTCATGTGGGTAGTGTATCTAGCACAGCAAGATGTGTGTGGTGCCTATAGGCATGTGCTTGTATTGTGTAGATGTTCAGGAGTTCTACCTCTAGATGTACATTAATAGAAATAGTCACTTAGTAATATGTACAAAGGATTCTATGGAAGCATGGTTCAGAAAAGTAGATGACTAACTTGTGGTGGTGTTAGATGCCGGTGAGCTGCCGCAACTGGTAGTGACCCTGTGTACAACAGAACGGGACACTGTCCAGTCTGCACCATTGTCACAGCCATCACTATGGCGGAGCCCAGTGTTGCAGCCACTATGTCCACTTTGTTGAGGGCCTTCCTCTTTTTCAGGGACTCTTTACCTAGCATGATGTCCTTCTCCATCAATATTTATTGTTGCTATGTTTAAAGCCATGTTGTAGACACAATATATCCTGTGGTACAGAAATAAAACATAGAACAGTGCCTATGCTCAAGGAATTTACAGTCTATAGAGAAGGTAATTGTAGTAAAAGGTAATCCCAATTCATTCATGTCAATTACAAAAGGTTAATAACTCAATCATGAGCAAATCACTTTCACTTATAAAAGAATGCCTATGTTGCCTAAAATTACATACTGTACTAGTCTTTCAAACCTCACCCATGGCAGGCAAACTTCTAGATCCATTCTATTTCCAGAGGAACAAACTTCCTATTTAACTTTCATAACGACTAGGATTAAGTTGAGGTGGGACTTGGGTTCTGTGTCTGTATTCTAGTCTTCCAAACTCCTTGATATTTCTTGAAGTCAAGAATTGCATTTTGCCTGGATCCACAATCAGTGCCCCTGGAAGAAATCAGGTGATAATTATTACATTGGACAAACCTGCTGCAAAAGATCTCTATAAAGTGTTAAAAATCAAAGATGTCATTGAGAATTAAGCCATTTCAATTGTCTCATAGGCATGCTTAAGGTAGACAATAAGAAATGCCTAAAAATTGATGCATGCAAAATATGGTGGTGTTGAAGAATATTGAGTATACCATAGGCTTCCAGAGAACAAGCTAATCTGTACCTACTTCCAGATGTTTAGTGACAATGCTCCTTAGAAGTGAGGCTAATGAGACTTCCACTCACTTACTTTGTAGATGTTATTAGGAGGAGCCAATATCCAGAGAAGGACATCATGGGTGGTAAAATAGAAGGTCAGTGAAAAAGAGCCAGCCCTCAGACGTCTTGACACAGTGGCTGAAATGATTGTGGGGATGGTGGAGCCCTGAGCAGTGTCTTGTTCCCTTGTACATAGGGTTGCTGTGACTTGGAGCCAACTCAATGGCACCAGACAACAATAACATCTGTATTTCTAATTGTAAATGGGCATGTATTCGATTGAGTTAATGAGCTTTGTCTCTAGAAGAAATAGAAGTTCCTGCCACCTTCTTAGGCCAAAGCTGTGTGTCTTCCTACAGTAAAAATGAACAACCCTATTACTGATTAATGTGTCTTTTATACCACACAAGGTCTCTGGATGGCACAAATGGCTTGTGCTTGACCACTGACTAAAAGCTTGAATGCACCCAGAGGTGTTTCTGTAAGATTAAACTCGTTGTCATGGAGTCGATGTTGACTCATCTTGACCCTATAGCCTGAAATCCTGTGGAGCACAGTTCTGCTCTGAAACTTGGGGTTGCCATGAGTTGGAATTGACTCAGTAACAATGGGCTTGGATTTTATTTTGTCTTTTATTTTTGATAAGTCACATGTAGTCCTGATGTGACACTGTAGAATGAGCACTGGACTGCCACCTGCAAGGTTGGTGGCTCAAACCCAGTCCTCAGAAAGCCTATACAGAGTTGATGGGACTCGGAACCGACTAACAAGAACACCTTGTCCATCAAAAGAGTTCTTGTTTTTGTTTCTCCCGAGGGCTCAGTACCAGGGAAAGCACTGTTCCTTTAAAATAAAATTTCATTTTAGAAACACTGTGATTTTCTAAACAACTTAACTGCTTTTTTCTCTTTGTCCTGGCTGCTGGAAAGCTCAACAAAATGTACAGACCCAACTACCTACAACCTGTATTTATTTAATTTTATTTCTTTAGAAATTATTTAAAATTCTATTTTTGAAAAGAGGTATAAATTTGTAGCTAATTTATATCCTGACTTCGTACACAAAGCACTCTGTGGAAGCTAGGTTTGTATTTCCTGCTTTGTTATTCCCACCATGCCTCAAATTTTTATTGGTGATTTTATTAAACTTATACAACCTAATTCATTCTCTGGGAGAAAATCTTCGTGGTATGCTTATTAATGAAAATTAAACAGTTCAGAGTAGCCTGGTATAGTGAAATGAACAATAGAGCAGAAGTCAAGAAAAACAAATTCTAGTCTTTTCTTGTCACTGTCACCTATTAAATGTGGTGTTGGACAAATCGTAACCCGTTTTGGTACCTATTGCCTCATCTGAATATAAATTTAACTACATTGCCAAGACTGCTTGGGCACTGGTATTTCATCAAGTTATGGCTAAGCGAGAGACTGGGCTTTCTGGGCTGGCTTACCTTTACATGCAGCTCACAAGTCATATGGAACCAATTTCATACTTGAGGAAGATTCTGTGACAGCAAAGTCAGCTCAGGGGTTTGCTTAGTAAGTAGACAAGTCACTCATGTTAAACAAC